CTTTTCAACATTTTTGTGCCTTAATTTTATTTTATTTTAAATGTGTGTATGCATGTATGTATATACACTTCGTTCTATTTGTGTTCACTTTATAACCCCCTGGCATTATTGTCTTGTTCATTTTGTTTTATAATGTTGATATTGTTTTTAGCATTTTTGTTAACACTTTCTTTGTCAATGGGATTTACCTGTCTAAATAAAGGTTGAATGAATGCATGAATTGTCATAAATAAATAAATAAATAAATAAATAAATAAATAAATAAATAAATAAATAAAAAAGGCAACAATGTCAAAACGTGGATGGGGAAAAAAAAAAGTTTTTAAGTGGTCTATTAAAAAACACAGAACAACACGCAAGGTAAACGTTGAAAACAAGAATTGTAAAACAAGATGACCCAAAACACCCTAACTATAAATCCAAAGATCACAATAAATGTAGACCCTGATGTGGAAAAAATATTCTCATATGGAGCTGAAGTACTGTTGTATGAAACTGAGATAAACACACAAAGAAACAAGTTAGACAAAAAGTATAGAAGGACTGAAAGTACACAACATCAGTCACACTTGATTTAGTAGGAATAAAACGTCATCGTACCATGTACAATGAAACTGTTGGCATTTCTTCATGTCAACATATAAGAAAAAAGTAAAAAGTAGAGTTAAAAAAAGAAAGACATGAAAATAGAAAAATAAGATACGGAATAAAGTGAAATAGCAGCTGGAGTTATCCACATATGGAAGTGTGACAACAACCTTGCTCCATCTTATACTTTGTATTACAGATCATATTTTTCCATATTTTTCCTACTTAGCTCTCAGACTGCGGGTTTACTTGCGGTTCCTAGAGTTTCCTAAAGTAGAATAAGAGGCAAAGCTTATCAATTATCTTGTGGAACCAACTTCCAGTTTCTGTCCATGAGACACCATGTCTTCTTTTAAGACTAGAAGTCTTTCCTTGTTGACAAATCCTATCGTTAGGGTCATCTTGGGTTTCTTGACTGAACTATCCCTTAGTTATGCTGCTAAAGGTTTAGACTACTGGAGGAAAAACTGACCACATTCCCTCACTCTGCTGCTGTTTTTACTTGCTCTACCTGTTTGTAATTGTAATTATTTCTATCTTAACATGTTTTTTGTCTTTAGAAAGTACACCTGGACGTGTCATTCTGTGCTCGTCTGTCTCTCCTTCCTGTTCCTCTCAAATCCAGCTGGTTGAAGCAGATGGCCGCTCGTCCTGAGCCTGGTTCTGTTGGAGGTTTCTTCCTGTTAAAAGGCACTTTTTCCTTTCCACTGTCGCCTCTGTGCTTGCTCAGGATGGGAGACTGTGACGAAGTGAAGATTCAGCACAATCTGCTGCTTCCTTAGATGTATAAATTTTACAAATTGGCTTTTATTTATGTTTGTGAATGTTTCAGTGCCCTGAGGCAACTTCTGTTGTGACTTGGCGC